AACCACTGAAGTACGTTTCTATCCCCCACCCCCTTTTTTTTTGAGACAGGGTCTTACTATGTAGTTGACACTGACCTGGAACTCACTATGTAGCCCCAGCTGGTCTCGACCTTGCAGTGATCCTCCTGCCTCAGCCTCCTGAGTGCTGGGATTACAGGCGTGCGCCATCACACCTGGCTTTGTTTCTATCCCTTTTAATTAATTAATTTATCACAGTAATGGGTGTTGAACCCAGAGCCTTTGCACTGAGCTACATCTTCAGCTTTTAAAAATTAAAAAAAAATTTTTTTGAGACAGGGTTTCACTAAGTTACTCAGCCCTGAACTTGTAATCATCCTGTCTTCTTATTTAATTTTATTGAGACAAGATTCCCTTAAGTTGTACAATCTGGCCTTGAACTTGCAATCTTCCTATCTCAGCATCCCCACTACCTGTGATTACTGGCATGTGCCAATGGACCCAGTTATCTCTAGCTTCTTGAGGTAGAAGCTTAAGTAGTCGGTTTTAAGTAGTCCTTCTTTTCTTATACAATTGTATAAAGCCATAAATTTCTGTCCAAGCACTATTTTAGTTGCATCCTGCAGATTTCAGTACATTCGGTTTTTGTTACTTTTTGTTCAAAATATTCTCAGCTTTTCCTTGTGATTTCTTTTTGGTCTCATATTTTCATATTTTGTCATATATTCAGAAGTGTGTGTTTTTTAATTTTCAAAAATTTCATGCTTCTTTTTTTGAGACATAATATTTGCACCTCACTGTGGAGTAATTGTGATAATTCAATGCATATATGCTATATATAATAATCAAATCATGGCAGCAAGCATTTCCATCTCCTTAAGTGTTAACTATCTTTATGTGTTGTGAATTTCATACTCTTCTACTCATTTTGAAATGTATCATAGATTGCTTTAACCAGTAGTTACCTCATTGTGCTATAGAAAACCAGAACCAATTCCTCCTCTCCGATTGCATTTTGGTGCCCCTTATCTAACTTCTTTCCTTTCCCCACCTCGCTGCCACTTTCAGTCTCTGTTGACCACTATTCCACTCCATTGTAAGAGATCAGTTATTTCGTTAGCACAAGTAAGAACATGTACTATTTGTATTACCATGCTTGTCTTATGCTACTTAACATAATGACTTCCAGTGTATACATATTGCTGAAAAATGTCAGGATTTCATTCTTTTCATGGCTGAGTAATATTCCATTTTGTATTTAAACCATATTTTCTATATCCATTTATCTACCAATAAACATCTAGGTTGATTTTCCATTCTAGCCATTATGAATACTGCCACAGTAAATATGGGAGCACAGGTAGATTTTTGATATAATGATTCTATTTTATTTGAATATATACACAACAGCAGAGTTGCTGAATCATATGGTAGTTTTATTTCTAGATTTTTGAGGCACCTCCATACTGCTTTCTGTAATGGTTGCACCAGTTCAGTTTTCCATCAGTAGTGTAGAGTCCCTCTTCCTCCACATCCCTAGTATTTATTATATTTGTTTCCTTTTTGCAGGGAGGTACTGGGTATTGAACTCAGGGCCGTCACATGTAGCTACACTTTAGTCCTTTTTAATTTTTTTATTGTGAGACAGGGTCAGGTTAAGTTGCTCAGGCTGGGCTTAAACTTGCAATCCTCCTGCCTCTGCCTTCTAGAATGTTGGGCCTACAGTATGATTTTTTTTTTTAAATCTTTTTAGTAATAGCCATTCCAACCTGGGTGAGGTGTTTAGTATTTCCCTGATGATTACTGATGTTTAAGATTTATAAACTTCTTGCCCATTTGCATGTCTTCTTTTGAGAAAAATATCTATACAGATCATTAGCCAGTTTTAAAATCAGATTTTTCCTGTTTTTATTTCAGTTTCTTATATATTCTGGACATGAATCCCTTGTTAAATGAATAGTTTGCAGGTATTTTCTCCCTTTCTGCGGGTTGTGTCTGAAGTGTCGTTTCCTCTGTCTCATTTTTATTAATTTCCAATTTAATTTATTTATCATTAGAGAATATATTCTTCAAGATTTCAGTCTGTTGAAGTCAGGAGAACTTATTATACAGTCTACCAGGGAGAAGGCTTCCTGTGCACTTGAAAACACTGCTGCAGTTGTTTGGTGTGACATTCCGCACGGAGTCAGTCAGGTTGCAGAAGTCAGCAGTTGTCATTTAGATCTTTTGCACCTTTACTGGTTTTTGTACCTAGTGTTCCTGTGAATTACTGAAAGAAAAGCTTGAAATATGTTTATAATTGTGAATTTGTCTATTTATCTCTCTTTGTCAAATTTTGCTTTTTGTGTTTGGAAGCACCATTTAGGCTCACATACATTTGTGATAATTATATCTTCTTGATATATTCATTTTTATCATTATAAAATGTCATTTTTGTTCCTATTAGTGTCTTTTTTTTTTTTGGTACCTGGGATTGAACTTGGGACCTTGTACTTTTGAGGCAGGCAGCAGCACCACTGAGCTAAATCCCTGGCCCCTAGTAGTGCTCATTTTAATATTTGAGTTATCTGTTATTAGTGCAGCTATTTCACCTTTCTTATGTTCTTCATTGGCCTGGTTTATCTTTTTTTCTATCCTTTTACTTTGAGCCTGTTTGTGTCTTTGTATTTATAGCATATCTCTTGTTAAGAGCAGGTAGCTGTTAAGAGGAGGTAGCTGGATTTTTGCTTTATATGCAGTCTATCAATTCAGACTTTATTTTTCAATGGAATGTTTAGTCCATTTACATCTAATAAATGATTGTACTAGGGTTTATGTCTATTTTTATTGATTTTAAAATTTTTCTCATCTGTGTTTTTGCTGTTTTGCTACTCTATTTTTCTCTTATTCCTGCCTCATCTTGTGTTAATCAGATATGTTTTAATATTTCACTTTCATCTTCATTGGGATATTTAGCTTTTGTTCTTTGTATTATTTTTAGTGGTTGCTCCAGAGAGCAAGTTATGCATATTTAATATGTCACAGTGTACTTATAATTAATATTGAATTACTTAAAGTAAATAGAAAACATGTAACAATATAATCCCCCAGCTGTTTGCTATTTTGTCATGGATTCATGTTAATATACATAACCAACAATACAGTTTATAAATTTTGCTTTAGGTGGATATATGTCTTTTAAAGACTTGCCTTGCTGTAGATCCAGCTTGTCTTCTGGTATCGTTTTCTTTCAGCCTGAACAACTTCCTTTAATATTTCTTAAGGTTTAATTCTATTTGAAGATGCCTTTATTTTATTTTCTTTTTTGAGGGGTAGTTTCATTAACTATAGAGTTCTTGCTTGGTATTTTTTTCTTTCATCATTTTACATATGTTATATCATTATTTTGGGGCCCTTTTGTTAAGCTCTGCCTTGGTTGCTTCCAGGATTTCTTCCTAAATTTCCAGCTTTTCTGGCAACCCTAAATTTATTTTCTCCAACTTTACATCTTCAAGGCTGCAGCCACTCATCAATGTTGGGGTGGGAATAGGCAGTTAGAAAGCATTTTCAGAGTCAAAAACTTGAACATTTTCAAAATTCTTACCTATCACACTTAACTCCCCAGTAGCTGGATTGTGGCAGGTCAATTTTTAAACTTTTGAAGGAATCTCCAAACTGTTTTCCATGGGGCTTTACCATTTCACAGTCCCATCAACAATACACAAGGGATCTAATTTCCCTACATCCTTACCAACACTTATTTTCTGTTGTTGCTGTTTTATTTTTATGATAGTAGTCATCCTAGTGGGTGAGAGGCAATATTTCACTGTGGTTTTTAATTTTCAATTCTGTGATGATTAATGGTGTTAAGCATCTTTTTGTAGGCCTATTGAATATTTGTATATCACCTTTGGAGAAGTGTCTATTAAAGTCCTTTGGCCATCTTTTAATTTGGTTATTTGATTTGTTTGTTTTTGAGTTGTAGGAATTCTTTATGTATTCTGGATATTAACCCATGATCAGATATATTATTTACAGATATTTTCTCCTATGAGTTTTATTTTTTCACATTTTACATTTAGGTCTTTAACATATATTGAGTTAATTTTTGTATATGGTATAACACAGGGTCTAACTTTATTCTTTTTCATGTGGATATCTGGATTTCCCAACACTGGTTATTGTTCATTGACTTTCCTTTTTCCATTGAGTAGTTTTGACACATTTATTGAAAATTTGGCCATATATGTTAAGATTTATTTCTTGGTTATCTATTTTATTCTAGTAGTCTGTATGTCTGTGTTTGCATCAGTATCATACGGTTTTGATTACTGTAGCTTTGTAATACAGTGGTACTTCAGTTCATGAACTTAATTCTTTCTACAATTCTGGTGGCAAACTCAGCGATTAGGTTTAATGGTGACCTAATGGGAAAACTTGCAGAAGTGTAAGACTTCCAACTTTGTTCTGCTTTTCCAAGATTACTTTGGCCATTCAAGGTTCTTTGAAATTCCATATGAATTGTGGATTATATTTTTGTATTTCTGCAAAAAATGTCATTGGATTTTTGATAAAGGTTGCACTGAATCTTTAGACCACTTTGGGTAGTAAAACAATTTAATAATATTGAATCTCCAGTCCATGAATGTAGAATGTGGAAAGACCCATTTTTTTTCTTGTTATTTGATCTCTTCACTGTGCCCTCACTATTATCTCTCCCTGTACATCAGAGTGACAGCTCTAGAATGATGGTGGCAAGCTACCAGTCCCAGTCCTCTGGCCCTGTGCTGGCAGAAATCATTCTCAAGAATGTGGCCAGAAAGTAGGCATTGAAAAGGTTTATTTGAAAATATTTTCTTTACAGCTTTATCCTTGGGCCTGTTTCTTGGAGATTCGGAGTACTAGAATTTGATCAAGGAGCTTGCCTTTCTGAACTCTGATCACTGAAGACCAAAATGTTAAATGTCACATTGAAATATAAAAAAATATCAAGGCCAGATTGGACCTTTGCTTTTCTCACCACTTATCATGTTTCTTCTTGTTCTGAATTATTTACTTTGTAGATGTGTCTTCACTGCAATTTATATTTTGGAAGCTTTGATAAAAATACTTGCAAGAGGCTTTATCCTGGATGAATTTTCTTTCCTTCGAGATCCTTGGAACTGGCTTGATTCCATTGTCATTGGAACAGCGTAAGAATGTAAAAGATTTTTATTGGAGAGACCTGGGGTGGGAAAGAAGTCCTTCTGCTTCCATCAGTCCCTTTGGGTCTACATGAGTGGCTGAGGTAACCTAATAATGCCTAGAGCTCTAAGTATCTTGCTAAATGGCCCTGAATGGGCAGTGTGTGGCCATTGGCCAGAGGCTTCCAGGCACAAAACCATTTCTAGGATTTTCTCATTTCTTCATTCATTTACTTAACACCTGTGTCTATAGGACAGGCTCTGTGCAAGATACAGGGGTTGAAAGAAAAGAACAAAGTAAGCAAGTGCTCTCAACCTCATAAAACTCACAGTGCAGAGGGGAAGAGTGACAGTGACCATTGCAATATGGTATAGGGAGTACCAGGTTAGAGGCTGTTCATGTATGAGCTGTCAGAGCTTGAGGGAGGAACCAAAGACTTAAAAAAAAAAATCTTCAACTACTTTGAGTTCACAAAGAATTTCCCCTATGTTTTACAGTTTTGCCTTTTGTCTTTGTGTCCAGGGTCTATTTTGAGTTAATTTTGTATAGTATGAAGTGGAGGTTGATGTTCTTCTTGAAGGATAGGACACTGATTTAGCATCTAAATGATGAAACGGAATAAAAACAAACAAAAAATAATGGCCTATTGCCAGCACAACAATAGTAAATTTATAATGTATGTGTGCCAAGAGTACTTCGCATATACAGTACTCTTCTATTTAATATTCACCAAAGTCCTTACATGTAGGTGCTTCTAAGTTTAGCATTTTATGTTTGAAGTTCAACATTTACATGCCTTTGGCCATTGGAAGATGTTGTAAGCATGTAGGTCCTAAAACCAGATTGTCTAGGTTCATGTTGATCCTAGATGGGAGACCTTAGCAAGTGTGCCAGAGCATGGGACTTGGCAATCAGTGGATAAATGTTTGTGTGGGTTTCCATTATTCATGGATGTAGCCACAACTGCGTGGGCAACTTCAAGGGACGAATATGATGTTGCCAAGTTCTGAGATAAAGATGAGGCTTCTCACTTCCCCTTGGTAGGCCCAGGCCCAGGGCTTACTCTGGCTTTTGTGGAAATGGGCAGCACAGCTGCAGAACGGAGTAAGTCAAGCCTTTTTCTGTGTTTTGCCTTGTAGGATTGCAGATTTAAATCCTAGTTCCCCAATCAAACTGTTGTCTCTGCGTACCTTCCGAGTCATCAGAGCACTGAAAGCAATTTCAGTAGTTTCTGGTAAGCCAATCTAACTTTTAACGCTGGCTGTCAGTTGGAGAGAGTGTTCTTTCATACTTACATTTTTCAAAATGTCATCATGTAAACCAAAGCCAAACAGCCCCTGCTTTCTACATTATTTGATTGTTCAACCAATAATTATTGAGCACTTAATATGTCCAGGCCTTGTGCTAATTGCTTAGGATCTAACCATGGGGGGCACAGATGCCTGCCCTCTTGGAATATTTGCTGTAAGGTCAGGGTGCGGGGAGAGAGATAGGAGTAAGGGAGTAAATTTACATGAGCAAATCGTGTATGCAGAATGTATAGTACAACCTGCTATGTGCCATGGAAAATATAAAGGAAACGGACAGTTTGAAGGTGATGGGGATTTACAGCAGACAGGGGAAGCAGGCTGCACTTTTAGATAGGGTGGTCAGGATAGGTGTCACTGAGAAGGTGAGAAATAAGCAAAGATTCGAAGGTGATGACACACAAGCAAATATTTGGGTAAGGGTGTACTGATGATAGAAACTGTGCGAAGATGGAGAGATGGTAAAGTGGATGGAGCTGGGGGAGTGGGGAGACTAGTGGAGCGGGGGTCCCAGAAGTGAGGGAAGCTATGAGCATGGGAGCAAAGCTTCCCTCTGAAGAAATGGAAGGATAGAATGAGAGGAAGCCACAGAAGCAGGATGACCAGGAGAGGGGCATGGTGGCTTCTGTGGAGGCACGCTTCTGATCTGCCTCAGGGAGCACGGGCAACAGGTGGTCCCTGCTGTCACCCTCTGAAGTTTCCTCTACATCTGTGCTCCTGCCAAAATCCTGCTGGCCCTGCACAGCGTGGGTGCTAGTGCTGGCCTGTTCCTGGAGGACCTGATCCTCCTCTAGAGGGGAACTTTGGTAACCTGGCTGAGGCTCTCACAGCTGTACTACAGCCTGAGCTTCTTCCTTTCCAGCCCTGCTTGGTTCCCTCTCCCTTTTATTAGGTGACAGAGCTACACAGAAGTCTGACAGTTTCTTCCTGCCAACTCCTGATTCCCCCACCGGTCAGAGGTATTTCCCCAACAAACCCTGCATACCCCTAATCCCAGAACTGCTCCTCAGAGCCCATAGAGTCATAAAAGTCCATTGTTCAAGCAAGGGATGGTTTTTCTCTAGGTCAGGTGTTGGTCAAAGAGTTGGCAGACAGTGGTCAGGGTCTCTAAATTTGAATGCAGAAATAACCATTGACTAAATTATGTTTGTGGTGGGGGTAAAAGAGAAGAGTCAAGGATGATAGCAAGGTTTTCAGCCTGAGTGCCTGGGCAGATGGCAGTTTTTGCTGGCTGAGCCCGGGAAGGCTATGAGAGGAGCAGTTCTGGGAGTCAGGATGGGAGTTGGCCTTTAACGTGTGCTTCAGATGACCGAGACATCCAGGTGGAAGTATGAAATTGGCAATTAGATACACGACTTGAGGATCTCCAGGCAGTCTGAGCTGGAGATAGGTATCTCAGACCTATACATGACGCGTGAAGCCATGAAACCTGATGAGATCACCAAGAGAGTGAGCACAGGTCGAGAGAAGTCCCCAGGCATGGCAGCGCTAAAGGGGAGGGAAGGAGAAGAGGAACCGGCAAAGGAGATGAGTAGGAGCCACCAGTGGAGTGGGTAGGAAACCACAGATGTCCCAGGGAAGCAAGGTGAGGAAAGCACTTTAACCCTAGGAATCGGGATGAAGCCAAGGGTGGATTGTGACTGTGAATACCAGTTTGTTAAAACCTGAGGTTACTTTGGTATAACTCCCTCTCTTTCCATTTTTATTCTGTTTGCAAAAATACTCTCTTTTATTTGGAAAAAAATCCCACTTTATTTAAAAATCTCCTGTCCCTGGAGTCCTTTCCTCTTCCCATCCTCCCTCTCCTTCTGTCAGTAGCTTTGGCAAACTATGAATGCAAACTATGGGAACTAACTTGGTCTGATGATTATATAGACTTAGGCTAGGCCATACATCCCCAGTACCTGAACTCTAAGCAGTTTGGATTCTCTAAAAATAGAGGCAGTGGGCTATTTATTCACTTATTTATTTTTTGAGACTCCAGGAAGGCAACTGCAGAGTGATAAAGAAACTGGCAGCCAGAAGACCTTCATGTGGGATTTGTCCCTCCTCCTAAGCAGATGAACACATGGAGATCCTCCTTTTTGGCCTATGAACACATGGAGATCCTTGTTTTTTGGAAGTAAAGGTAGAGAGGTATAGCCTTCTGTGAGACTCTGAAAATTACTTAGAAATCATGAGTGTCTTTTGTCAAAAATTTTGGGAGAAGAATCAAACCTCTTGTAGCAGATTAAAACGTGGCTTGGCGAGGCCGGCCACACCTGGAGTTGAAGTGAGGCTCCAGTGTGACCTCAGTACCCTCTGCCCACTTGGTATCACTCTGTAAGAACTTTGCCCTCTGTGGTCTTGGCCTCCACTCGATACTGCCTTGTACTCTCACCTCCCTTACCTTCGAGTCTCCTGTATGATCGATACTAATCCATAGAAATTGTGTCGCTTAGAATCTTTCTGATTCTGGATGGTGGCACCTTTTGACACAGAGATGGTAGAAATGTTGCAGGCATACATGGTCCCACACAGGTGAAGCTTTGTTGGGGGGTTGTTTGTGGTTCCTCATGTACCTTGAGAGTAGATAGGGCCCACAGCATGTTAACTGCGGGTCTGTGTCGTTCTCTGACACTGCTGTATCCCCCAGACTGTCATCTGGCTGTGCCTGTACCCACTTCTATGCAGGCTCCTTCCTTGCTCCTCAAAGTGACCTCGAGCAGCACAGGTGAAGGTACAGGTAGAGAGTTTGACTGCTGTGATGACACAGCTTCTAAAAAGTGCAGAACCGTGGGCCAGGCCTGAAGTTTGGCCATCTCTTTGACTTCCTTGACCTGGCCAGGCCTGTGTGGACTGCTTCTCCCACACCTGTCCTCCTCCTCAGGTCTGAAGGTCATCGTGGGGGCCTTGCTGCGCTCAGTGAAGAAGCTTGTTGATGTGATGGTCCTCACCCTCTTTTGCCTCTGCATCTTCGCCCTGGTGGGTCAGCAGCTTTTCCAGGGAATTCTGAGCCAGAAATGTGTGAAGATCGGCTGTGACACTACCGGTGAAACAAATGGTAAAATATTCCGCGTCTCGGTTGGTGCGTGGTAGCTTGTTTATTGCCACACATACCACCTGCGTACCTGGCTCTGAGAGCAAGGGAGGGCGTGATCCATCCAGAGGTCTTGTGCAAGCAGGTGCGTTTCCTAGAGACTTGCCCCCATCTTTGGGTTTCTCTGGAGAGCAGAAAGCCTGACGCCATGGCCACACGAGCAGTGTCTGCTCCCATCCTCTGCCATTCAGATCTCTGCTCACTTCGTCATGTTCTTGAGTTGCTCAAAATGCTTGATTTGGCCAATAAACCAGCAGCTTCCATAGCCCGCTGAAGCATTTTCTTCAGTGACCACGCTTCTTTTTTCCTCCTCTCTGTACTGTGGCTCAGTGCACATGCTCCCGCATGTCCTGGATCTCACGTAGCTGTCTGCTCTCCACATGTCTGTGTCCGGCTCCTGCAGGGGTGCTGTCTGGTTATGAACATCCTTCCCCAAGCGATGAAATTGTGGTGGTGATGTCATTACTTCCTCCTCCCACTTCTCCTTCCTTGTTCCTTTCCTCTTTTCTCTTCCTGAGGGCTCAGCACTCAGTCTCTGCAGACACCAACTTCTATCACCTTATAGGCATGTCCAACCTGTGGCCTATTTTTGCCCTTTTTTTTTGTTTGAACGAAGAACAATTGCCTTAGGCTGTGTATGAAATACACCACATAGTTAATATATGTGAGTAACAAAACTTATTTTAAAAATATTTTATGATAATATTAAAAGAAACAAAAACCACAATAAGGCAGGCCACAGGTTGGACGTTCCCAGCAGAGTATCCAGAACCATATGTTTTCAAGAATCAGCCAGAATATTTGCCACTCTTTTCCTTTAAGTTTTTAAAAAATCTGAATTTATGACTCTTTCTTCTCTCAGACTCTTGCTTTGCAAAGGAAATAAATTCCACAGAACCCATAATGTGTGGCAATTGGAGTGCTGGAAGGTAAGTGGCTTATACTCTCCGTTTCTCTCCCAGCCAAGCACTTCTGTTCAGCCCTGTTGCCGTGATGTGGGAGATGGTCTTCATGGAATGCCTGGTGGAGGCAGAGATGAGACTTCTCAAGCAGTTCTGATTATTTCTGTATCTCTGCAGTTTGTTTGTTTCTTTAGGTCTTGCGAAATTGCCAAGGCTGGCTTTGAACTCATTATCTTCTGCTTCAGCCTCCTGAATAGCTGGGATTAATTGTACGTACAGGCTACTGCACCTGGCTTAAGCAGTTGTAGATTTGTGTACTCAATAAAAATTATTTTCAAGAGGGGCCAAGGATTTAGCTCAGTGGTGCTGCCGCCTACCTTGCAAGCGCAAGGACCTGAGTTCGATCCCCGGTACCAAAAATATATATATATTTTTTTCAAGTATTTACAGCAGCTTTCCCTCGAACTCATGTTAAATTGGTAGCCAATAAGAAGCCTAGTGAAAACTTATTGGAATGGACATTTAAGACTTTCAAAGCTGATAAATGATTTCATCACTAAGAGCCCCACAAGTCCCTGGTTTCCTGTTTGGTGACATTCATTGCCTGATGAAATTCTCTGAGCATGCCTCTTATCTTTGTTTTTCCATTAACCACCATGGCCTCTAAGTGCAAACAAAGCAGTGTGTGGATTCATACACACTCATGCCCAGCTAGTAGCCTTCTAGACCTATGGAGTTACCCTTCCTTCTTCAAAGATACCAGTGCTCCCTGTGGTGAGAAATTCAATTCAGTGAAGGTTCATTGAGCACATTTCAACTTAACATAAGGTGCAAGGCAATCTAATGAGATAGAGTACTCTCACTCCCCTGTATCGAGCAGATATCTATTTGATATCAAGGGCCTACAGTGTGCCAGGCTCTTGAGTTAGGTCCAAGGAAAGCAATTATGATCAAAACAGCTGCACTCTTTTGAAATTGACGTCTCCTGGAGAAAACAGTCGAGTACATTTTACAAAGCATTGTCTCCCGAGACGCACAGGTTCTGAGAGTTGTGACAGGGAACGTGACCCATCTGGAGAAAAGAGGGAGGATTCCCTCTCACTACTGTGCTTACAAGATGCAGTGGCCTTTGATACAAGCAAGGCTTGTTGAGCTCTCTAGAACAGTCTGTGAGAGGACTCACTACACCCACATTGTGTTCACCTCCGTGAGGGCCCGCAGCTGCCTTATACAGTGCTTTGACTTTTCACTGTGATGTTCCTACATGCAAAATCCAACTTGGGGAGTCTTTCTCCTGAACGCAAAGGAACAGTTTTGTTTTCCAGCTGGAAGGCATAGTATTCTTGTCTCTCTAAATTCATGTGTCAAACACAGCTCACACAGTCTAAGTACAGCGTGAAAGCTCAGGTGTGAATTGTGTATAAATGTGTGTGTGTGTGTTGTTGTTGTTGTTGCTGTGTTCATAAAAAACTAGAGGGTCGAAGTAGCTGTTAAATGTTGTCTTAGTTCATATGTCAAACACAGCTCACACAGTCTAGGTACAGCGTGAAAGCTCAGGTGTGAATTGTGTATAAATGTGTGTGTGTGTGTTGTTGTTGTTGCTGTGTTCATAAAAAACTAGAGGGTCGAAGTAGCTGTTAAATGTTGTCTTCAAGAAGTGAGGGACAGGGAGAGATAGAGACTGAACATTCATTATGTGCATTTATTTGTTTTACACTGTGTTGTTACACTTAATTTTTCAGTGAAATACTTGTTTATATGAATTTATTAATCATTCAGTTGAAAAAAAGAGTTGACAAGTGTCCACCCTGAGATGAAGTCTGTGAGGCTAGGCAAATCCCTTGGCTGGAAGGTCACTCTGCTGCCTTTCTCCTGGGTTTTTGGGTGGATCTCACGGCCTTCTGAAGAGTACTGTCATGGGTGGGCTTAGGGTGGGGTACAGAAAGGAAAGTTGGGCTGTGCGCAATGTAATCCTTTGTCTGTTCCTTTGTTTTCAACATCCAGGTGTCCCCCAGATTCTAGATGTAAAACCACTGGCATTAATCCTGATTATAATTATACAAATTTTGATAATTTTGGCTGGTCTCTTCTTGCCATGTTCCGGCTTATGACACAAGACTCCTGGGAGAAGCTTTATCGACAGGTCGTATATTCATGGTCTCTCTCTCTTCTTTGTCCTTTCTGCCTTCCTTCCCCTTGTTTATTAAGAACCATCTGCCTCTAACTTTTGTTATCAATTCTCCATTTTTAACAGCTATACTGTTAAATTCTGTTTTAGTGATTCTGTTAGAAATTTTGAGAAAATTATAAGCACGATATTTGGAAGACTGTGAGAAAACCATTCTATAAATATTACCCCTCTGAAGTTCAATCACTCTTGCCTTTTTTATTTTAAAAACACAAACACTATTGAGAAAATTAAGGCTCCCACATGCACTGATAGATGGCATCTGCCCACTGCAAGACAGGGCGCCAGGAGCTCCTGGGTGGCTGGGGAGCCATCCAGCAGCTAAGCTGCCCAGTGCTGGGCAAAGGCCAATCATCAGCAATGGTATCATCTTGCTGGACGTGATAGCCACTGCTCTGTGGAGGAGGCTTCAGATACAAGAATGTGCTCTGTCCTTCGCAGACCCTGCATACCGCTGGGCCTTACTCAGTCTTCTTCTTTGTGGTGGTCATCTTCCTGGGCTCCTTCTACTTGATTAACCTAACGCTGGCAGTTGTCACCATGGCTTATGAGGAGCAGAGCAGGAATGTAGCTGCAGAAACAGAGGCCAAGGAAAAGATGTTTCAGGAAGCCCAGAAACTGATAAAAGAAGAAAAGGAGGTAGGAACATGTAGAGATAGAATGTGGGTTCTGCCCAGGGGATCAGAGAGATGCTGGAGACAGTGTGACCTGCTGCTCAATGCTGCTTCCTAGGGTCTGGTCTCAGCAGTTTCTCTATTTGTGCTTTTCTGAAAATTTAAGCTGTTTGCAGACTGACTGTGCTGTGGTCTCTCTCAAAGTTGTCTACCTTTGACCAGGGAATATTATTAGTCTTGATGCTCTTTGCTTTCCTGAAGCCTGCATCTTCTAAACATGTCCCAAATTACTGACTGGAGGATTCAACTTATATATATGTAAATTGGGGCCCTGTTCCAGCTTTATCTAGCTATATGGAGATGATTTTGTTTGGGGCCCTTGCTTGGGAGTGGTTGAGGTTCTAGAATAACAGGAACATTATTTCTCCCTTCTGAAATTTTTTTTTATCATGTTCATTGAGTTCCAAGGCCACACTAGGCTAAGGGCTAAGGGTTAGTGATGCAGAGGAGTGACTTTGACTCTACCTTTGACAGTGGCACTCTCTGTGCAAGAGCTGGACCTGTTTCCCCAGAAGAATACCTCAGAGCTAGCTTGTTCTAATTGGATGATAAGCAAATTAAGTGGTGTGATGCCACTGTGAGAGCGCAGGGTGTGCTCACTAAGGTTGAGATCGTCTGTGGTGTTCTATGGAAAGGCATAATCTGTTCGTGAACTGCTGTTGTTCACTTTCTAAGGCTCTGGTTGCCATGGGAATGGACAGAAGTTCACTTAATTCTCTACAAACATCATCTTTTTCCCCCAAGAAGAGGAGGTTCTTTGGTAAAGGGAAAAGAAAATCTTTCTTTTTAAGAGAATCTAAGAAAGGCCGAGCTCAAGGATCAGATTCTGATGAAGATTCCTTAAAAAATGTAAGTACTGTTGAATGGACTAATGGTACCATAGTGCGGTCTGGGGTCGGGGGACAAGTCCTTGGACAATCTAACCAAAAGGGTTCACGTCCTCGTTTTCCATTCATCCATTTGCACACACACTCATGTGTCCATGTGTCTAGTCAATCATCCATTTTCATAAACATCTACTTAAGCAGGGTACAGTGTTTACTGTCTGCTCAACTCGGGAGTAGGCACTGGAGAAACATGGTTCCTACCCCACAGACTTTACAACTAATGATGAAGACACACAAAAGAGGAGGCAGCTATGAGTCAATGTGATGATCACTGGGAGAGCAGAGGAGAAGCATTAGGTCAGTGTGGGTTTCCACTGAAGCAAAGCCAGACATTAGGGTAAAGTGGATCATTCTGGAAGTCATCTCAGGAAGTGCTGAGCAGACAGGTACATGGGAGGGAAGGGGGCCAGTGAAGGTTCATTATCAAGCCAGTTACCAGTGATGGCAGTTGAAGCTTAATCCCTGGAGTGTGGGTTTTAGAGTTTATATGTACCAACTTTGATTGATCATTGGTTACAGATTGCTAGAGACTGGGAATTCATAATTTTCCTGCATTTCTGACTTGCTGTACAACAGGGAAGAGGGGATTTTGGTCACCAGAGAAAGCTCTGAAGGCAGGACCAAGATGGAACATACAGATGGAACAATTAACAAGGTCTATTTCCGACAACCAGCCCAGACTTGGTGGAGGGCTGGGACAAGAGCAGTAGGTCAGAAAAGAGTTCCCAAAAGAACAAACAGTATCTCAGCTGGATGAGAGAATTTAACAGGCAAAAGGAGAATGGAGCATTACTAATGAGAGAAAAGTATGTACAAAGGTCTAGAAGCAAAGGAAAGCAGAATAAAACCCATTAGAAAACTTGTATGCACATGTGTGTGTGTGAGAGAGATGCGGATGGAGGACAGTGTTAGAGAGCTGTGGTGGTGAGAGATGGAGTGCTACAAAAGGCCTTGAAACCCAAGCAAAGGAGTTCACCTTTTACAAGGAGGGTGAGGGCAAGGTTAATAAGCACTGAAAGAGTTTAAGCAAGAGAATGAGGTGACCCCACATAAACTTTGAAATCCTGGATGCACTGTAACACAAAGACTGAAGGAAGAAAGACTAGAGACAACCAATGAAGAGGTTACCACACTTACCCAAGTAAGAGGTGACAGTGGCTTATACCAAGGTTAGAGCAGTGACAATGAAGAGAGATGAACAGATTGCACGATCTACATAAGATCAAGAAGTGAGGGACAGGGAGAGATGGAGACTGAACATTCATTATGTGCATTTATTTGTTTTACACTGTGTTGTTACACTTAATTTTTCAGTGAAATACTTGTTTATATGAATTTATTAATCATTCAGTTGAAAAAAAGAGTTGACAAGTGTCCACCCTGAGATGAAGTCTGTGAGGCTAGGCAAATCCCTTGGCTGGAAGGTCACTCTGCTGCCTTTCTCCTGGGTTTTTGGGTGGATCTCACGGCCTTCTGAAGAGTACTGTCATGGGTGGGCTTAGGGTGGGGTACAGAAAGGAAAGTTGGGCTGTGCGCAATGTAATCCTTTGTCTGTTCCTTTGTTTTCAACATCCAGGTGTCCCCCAGATTCTAGATGTAAAACCACTGGCATTAATCCTGATTATAATTATACAAATTTTGATAATTTTGGCTGGTCTCTTCTTGCCATGTTCCGGCTTATGACACAAGACTCCTGGGAGAAGCTTTATCGACAGGTCGTATATTCATGGTCTCTCTCTCTTCTTTGTCCTTTCTGCCTTCCTTCCCCTTGTTTATTAAGAACCATCTGCCTCTAACTTTTGTTATCAATTCTCCATTTTTAACAGCTATACTGTTAAATTCTGTTTTAGTGATTCTGTTAGAAATTTTGAGAAAATTATAAGCACGATATTTGGAAGACTGTGAGAAAACCATTCTATAAATATTACCCCTCTGAAGTTCAATCACTCTTGCCTTTTTTATTTTAAAAACACAAACACTATTGAGAAAATTAAGGCTCCCACATGCACTGATAGATGGCATCTGCCCACTGCAAGACAGGGCGCCAGGAGCTCCTGGGTGGCTGGGGAGCCATCCAGCAGCTAAGCTGCCCAGTGCTGGGCAAAGGCCAATCATCAGCAATGGTATCATCTTGCTGGACGTGATAGCCACTGCTCTGTGGAGGAGGCTTCAGATACAAGAATGTGCTCTGTCCTTCGCAGACCCTGCATACCGCTGGGCCTTACTCAGTCTTCTTCTTTGTGGTGGTCATCTTCCTGGGCTCCTTCTACTTGATTAACCTAACGCTGGCAGTTGTCACCATGGCTTATGAGGAGCAGAGCAGGAATGTAGCTGCAGAAACAGAGGCCAAGGAAAAGATGTTTCAGGAAGCCCAGAAACTGATAAAGGAAGAAAAGGAGGTAGGAACATGTAGAGATAGAATGTGGGTTCTGCCCAGGGGATCAGAGAGATGCTGGAGACAGTGTGACCTGCTGCTCAATGCTGCTTCCTAGGGTCTGGTCTCAGCAGTTTCTCTATTTGTGCTTTTCTGAAAATTTAAGCTGTTTGCAGACTGACTGTGCTGTGGTCTCTCTCAAAGTTGTCTACCTTTGACCAGGGAATATTATTAGTCTTGATGCTCTTTGCTTTCCTGAAGCCTGCATCTTCTAAACATGTCCCAAATTACTGACTGGAGGATTCAACTTATATATATGTAAATTGGGGCCCTGTTCCAGCTTTATCTAGCTATATGGAGATGATTTTGTTTGGGGCCCTTGCTTGGGAGTGGTTGAGGTTCTAGAATAACAGGAACATTATTTCTCCCTTCTGAAATTTTTTTTTATCATGTTCATTGAGTTCCAAGGCCACACTAGGCTAAGGGCTAAGGGTTAGTGATGCAGAGGAGTGACTTTGACTCTACCTTTGACAGTGGCACTCTCTGTGCAAGAGCTGGACCTGTTTCCCCAGAAGAATACCTCAGAGCTAGCTTGTTCTAATTGGATGATAAGCAAATTAAGTGGTGTGATGCCACTGTGAGAGCGCAGGGTGTGCTCACTAAGGTTGAGATTGTCTGTGGTGTTCTATGGAAAGGCATAATCTGTTCGTGAACTGCTGTTGTTCACTTTCTAAGGCTCTGGTTGCCATGGGAATGGACAGAAGTTCACTTAATTCTCTACAAACATCATCTTTTTCCCCCAAGAAGAGGAGGTTCTTTGGTAAAGGGAAAAGAAAATCTTTCTTTTTAAGAGAATCTAAGAAAGGCCGAGCTCAAGGATCAGATTCTGATGAAGATTCCTTAAAAAATGTAAGTACTGTTGAATGGACTAATGGTACCATAGTGCGGTCTGGGGTCGGGGGACAAGTCCTTGGACAATCTAACCAAAAGGGTTCACGTCCTCGTTTTCCATTCATCCATTTGCACACACACTCATGTGTCCATGTGTCTAGTCAATCATCCATTTTCATAAACATCTACTTAAGCAGGGTACAGTGTTTACTGTCTGCTCAACTCGGGAGTAGGCACTGGAGAAACATGGTTCCTACCCCACAGACTTTACAACTAATGATGAAGACACACAAAAGAGGAGGCAGCTATGAGTCAATGTGATGATCACTGGGAGAGCAGAGGAGAAGCATTAGGTCAGTGTGGGTTTCCACTGAAGCAAAGCCAGACATTAGGGTAAAGTGGATCATTCTGGAAGTCATCTCAGGAAGTGCTGAGCAGACAGGTACATGGGAGGGAAGGGGGCCAGTGAAGGTTCATTATCAAGCCAGTTACCAGTGATGGCAGTTGAAGCTTAATCCCTGGAGTGTGGGTTTTAGAGTTTATATGTACCAACTTTGATTGATCATTGGTTACAGATTGCTAGAGACTGGGAATTCATAATTTTCCTGCATTTCTGACTTGCTGTACAACAGGGAAGAGGGGATTTTGGTCACCAGAGAAAGCTCTGAAGGCAGGACCAAGATGGAACATACAGATGGAACAATTAACAAGGTCTATTTCCGACAACCAGCCCAGACTTGGTGGAGGGCTGGGACAAGAGCAGTAGGTCAGAAAAGAGTTCCCAAAAGAACAAACAGTATCTCAGCTGGATGAGAGAATTTAACAGGCAAAAGGAGAATGGAGCATTACTAATGAGAGAAAAGTATGTACAAAGGTCTAGAAGCAAAGGAAAGCAGAATAAAACCCATTAGAAAACTTGTATGCACATGTGTGTGTGTGAGAGAGATGCGGATGGAGGACAGTGTTAGAGAGCTGTGGTGGTGAGAGATGGAGTGCTACAAAAGGCCTTGAAACCCAAGCAAAGGAGTTCACCTTTTACAAGGAGGGTGAGGGCAAGGTTAATAAGCACTGAAAGAGTTTAAGCAAGAGAATGAGGTGACCCCACATAAACTTTGAAATCCTGGATGCACTGTAACACAAAGACTGAAGGAAGAAAGACTAGAGACAACCAATGAAGAGGTTACCACACTTACCCAAGTAAGAGGTGACAGTGGCTTATACCAAGGTTAGAGCAGTGACAATGAAGAGAGATGAACAGATTGCACGATCTACATAAGATAAAACTTGGAGTTGAGTAGAGGATAGACCTGGCTCAGGGAGATGACTTGATAGAAAATAATTTATTGAGACAGAGGCCAGGGATTTAGCTTAGTGTTTCTGCCATCTGCCTTGCAAGTGCAAGGATCCGAGTTTGATCCCTGTTACCAAAAAAAAAAAAAAAAAAAAAAAAAAAAAAAAAAAAAGAAAGAAAAATATATATAGAGAGAGAGACAAAAAAGGGCTTGTTTTAAGGGTAGCAAAGATGGCATGTTCAGCTTTTGATGTGCTAGTTTTGAGGTGCCTGTGGGATGTCCCAGCAGGGACACTGACACACAGAAACAAGACTCTGGAAGGTTCAGTAAACAAAGGTATTCTTATCATTAAGGTAGGGAATGTTAAGAGATAATTCAATTATGGAGACACAAGTCAGAAGAAAGGGAAATGTTAGAGATACAGGCTGGGGAAAGATAGCTGTCTGTGAGGCTCTGACTGGTCAGAACCTTGGGAAAATAGCCATTCTGGATACGGAGTTTCCTGAAGAGCTGATGGTTATATCTTTAGATTCTCAGTGATTTTTAGAATTATAGAAAATGAAGGTGTCAACAAGCCTTTGAGTATAGTCAGAGGGAGTGCTTGAGATTTAGTGTATAATTTGGTAATATTTAGTTGGACTAAATATTTTAGTTATTGTTCTGAAATCTATACAGGCAGCTCTTCAGCATACTTTCCTATATAGGGACCTAGCTTTATACTTTATTCCCCACTTCTGCTCTCTGCAAACTTTTTTTCCAAATTAGATTTATTATGGCTTTTATACCATGAGCCAATGCTCACTAGCTTTTTTGTTTGTTTGTTTGTTTTGGTTTTTTTGAGACAGGGTCTTACTATGTAGTTGAGACTGACCTGGAACTCACTATGTAGCCCAGGCTGGTTTTGAACTCATGGCAATCCTCCTGCCTCAGCCTCCCGAGTGCTGGGATTATAGGAGTGTGCCACCACACCCGGCTGCTCACTAGCTTTTGTAAAATTTTGTTTGCACTCTGTTGACAATGTATAAAGCACAGGAAAAGCACAATTTTTCTAGATAGGACTCTCGAAATGTGCATCTATAAGAAATGGCCAAATCACATTTCTCTGATCTACTAAATATGGAGTAAGAAAACTGAATATATGGCTTGTTGTGAAGGAAAACTTAGTTTATCTGCATAAAACACTGAGCACAGTTATTGCACATAGCATTGAGATAAAGTATTTGTAAAATTTGGGGAGAGGCAGCCCCTGCTTTACAAAGTCCATCGTGCCTTCTCTTGCAGCCACCTCTCCTAGAGCAAACCAAGCAATTGTCTCAGAATCTTCCAGTGGATGTTTCTGATGAGCATGGAGACCCCTTGCAAAGGCAGAGGGCACTGAGTGCTGTCAGCATCATCACTATCACCATGAAGGGTAAGTCCCTCCTCTGAGTCCAAGGGAAAGTGTAATATGTAGTAATGTTCTCCCATTCCCCATCCCAGTGTTCCAGAAATGCACTGCAAAGGAGGCTTTGTAGGAACCACCTCGCTGCTGTCGTTAAGAGTGACTACCTGTGCCTCTTTGGAGCACATGAGCAAAGTGCCAGAGGAAGTGGACCCTCCCTGAGCTGAGTGCCACTCTGAGCTGGCCCTTGGACAAGAATGGGAACTGGCTCACCATGGGGTGAGACTTCTGACCAAGAGCACCACCAGAGCCTCAGAAGCAGGTCAGGCAGTCAGTCACAGGAGGTCTGAGTGACAATGAGAGTCATCCAGAGAAGACTTTAGACTTTCCTAGGAAGTGGCAGTTGTTATTGAATTTAGAGTCATCAGTCTGGCACAGGCAACAGAAAACCTGTGTAGATAAGCTGCATCCTGTTTAACAGCTGGTAATACAGCCCCATCTAAGAATTGGTGTTCACATCCCTCCCCTGTTGTTCAAGTTCCGATGGGTCCCTTAGCATTTTTGAACCTATTGCATCACCCTGTTTGGCCTGCAGAAATGCATGAAATGGTGCTGGAGGAATCAGGGTGCAGCTGTTTGATGGGTAGAGTGTCTTTCAGTGCGTACAGATATCCTTGCCACACCATCTCTCCTTCTGCTAAGCACTGGTAGCTTTCCATTTTCCCGTTAGGTCCTCATCATGGTCTGTTTTGACAGGACATGGCTTGTGTCTGTGTCCCTTTCTCTCATGGGGCCACACCCAGTCACTGTTGACTTCTATATCCGTGTCTCTAAGAGTGCAGCCCAGTTCCTCAATGCGCAGTCAAGATGATGTACTTAACTACAAAAGCTGCTAATTGCATATGGGAAACTGTCTCTGCTGTACTGAGATTGGCAGGAAAACCCTTCTGGCTACACAAGTCGGTTTTACCGATCACCGATCACCGATCACGAGAGACCTGGGGGGAAGAAGAGGAAGAAACATACTCAGCCAGTGAGCAAACAGACAGATTCAGAGCTAATCCCTCAACTTCTCCTTCTCCTTCTCTAGAGCAAGAAAAGCTACAGCAGCCTTGTCTCCCATGTGGGGAAAAGTTGATATCCAAATACCTTGTGTGGAATTGTAGCCCCAAGTGGCTGTACATTAAGAAGGCCCTGCGAGTTGTGATGACGGACCCCTTTACTGAGTTGGCCATCACCATCTGCATTATAATCAATACCATCTTCTTGGCCATGGAGCATCATGGAATGGATATGAATTTTAAGATAATGTTGCAAACAGGGAATTGGGTAATTTTTATAAAATATAAAGCATATTCTAAACTTTGAATTATAAGTCTTTTGCATTCTAAACCTTTTTGTAAATGACCTAATCTAAACTGGGCCTTTGGTCTCTCTGTAAGTGGAATAGAGGTAAAAGATGATTTAGGATTTTATTTTAACCTTGTTCATGTCAGTCATTTTCTGTGGGCCCTGTGTTGGCTCCCTAGTACATTAAAGCGTCTTCTTAGTCATCCACCTATCAAGGTGCTTGAGTAGAAATCTGGAATGTTCAATTATTTGGGATGATGGAGAAAGTGTTAACTCAATTCAAAGACCCAGAGTAAAGACTGCCATGGTCCCCACTGATAGAGAAGATATTTGTCAGAAAACAGTGTGGCTGCCATTACTAGGTGTTCTCCTGGGAGGTGAGTCGGCCCCTAGTAGCTGTGGCAGGTCCACTTTCCTGGCGGGTGCTGTGTGGAACATTCAGGGTGAGGTGGGCCTGAGCTTGCAGACCCAGGCCTTTCCACACACTTCTCACTGGATGGACCTTGTTTCAGGTAAACTGAGAGAACTAAGTTAGGGAAGCAGACTTTTCAAGAATGGTTCACTTTAATTCATGGTTCCTATGGAAGAGATTTTTCTCGAGGGAAAATCGATCTCCCAAATATCAGGGGAAAAAAAAAGAAGCCACTGGATGCTTTACCTTAATTAATGAATGGGTTAACAGGCTAAAAATATCACCAGAATATTGAGGCTGTGCGGTTAGATGAACCCCTCTTGGACTCTTGTTGATGGAGGATATTTATCCTCAGTTTTTAGAGCTGGTACATACCTTCCACTGTGTCCCCATTTTGTAGGTTAGACGAGGAATCGCCTGATTCTTCCTATCATCCTTCTAACTGCCAAGAAGCCGGTTTTGTCTTACTTTCAACAGGTTGGGAAATAATACTCATTTTCTGGGCTGACATCTGTGAGCTTGGTACACACGAGCATCAAGCTGGGCCCTGTGGAGAGGGACCAGAGGAAGGGAAGGGTAGTGAGGTGTGTGTCACACAGAAAGTGTTTCTAGTGCAGGGACTTGAGGGTGTATTGTATCAACAGAGGAAAGGTCTTTTCATTTCTTTGTAGCCTCTAAAACTCCCTGGGAATGTTCTTAAATTTTTACACTCCTAAAAGATAGCTGCCTTTACTCATTTTTTTTTCTTTTTGTTCCAACTGTAGGTTTTTACTATCATTTTTATGGCAGAAATGTGCCTAAAAATCATTGCACTTGATCCCTACCACTACTTTCGCCATAGCTGGAACATTTTCGACAGCATCGTTGTTGTTGTGAGTCTTGCAGAAATCATAGCTGGGGACTACGTGTCCCTGCGTTCCTTCAGAGTGGTAAGGCTCTTTCTTATTTCGCTGCACAGCTCAGCGGCCCAATTTGAGAGTCATGAATTAGTTCAGGGACTATCTGGAGTAAATCTTCATTCATCTTAACTGCAGAACAAAATTCACACTCCTCTTCCCACTCAATCTCAGTGGCCCCGAGAGCCCCAGAAAGCCTTCTCCAAAATGAACCCCTATACCATGTTCCCACCAAGATGGACCATAGGCAACCATCTGCAAATCATGTCTCTCAGCATCAGGGCTCTGCTGCTTGCTTTATGTACAACCCTGAAATACTCCTTTCCCCCATGAAACTCTGAGGTAAGCGTCTCACATCTGGGCTCACAGGAGTGGAAGACTTAAACACCAGAGAGAAGGGTGCCCGCTGCCAGTGTGTGCCGTCCTATAACAAGATCCCTTCTCACTGCTGCTGCTATCATATTCCTGCTGTGTGGTCTGTGCCCTCACCCAGGAGTCTTGGAGGCATTCTGCCTACGATGAGCTGACCCAAGGACAGTCATTGTCTTCAAGGAGTTTTCAGTTCATTCCATGGGCTGAAATGACCATGAGACAGAGCCCAGGAGAATTATAAACAACAACAACCAAACTAGAGAACACAATCCAAGAGGGGTGTTGAGAAGCCTCCATGGTGGCTAGGTCTATTTTTTACAGCTATAATAGGGTACTAAAAACTGGTGAGGGCCTTCCTACTGCATCATAACTTGGTAAAAGGCAATACTGGAGAGAGAGAGAGAGAGAGACAGAGAGAGAGAGAGAGAGAGAGAGAGACAGAGAGAGAGAGACAGAGAGAGAGAGAGAGAGAAGAGAGAGAGAGACACAGGGCCAGATTTCATCCTTCTATCAGAAAACCACTTTCAGGATGGACTAACTCCATGATAATGACATCAATCCATTCATGAGGGCAGAGCATTCATTCAAAAGCTCATTATAGCCAGGGATTTAGCTCAGTGGCTCTGGTGCCTGCCTTGCAAGCACAAGGACCTGAGTTCAATTCCCGGTACCAAAAAAACAAAACAAAAAACAGACTAATACCAGAACCCCATTACCATTGGTAATGGTCCCACTTCTCAATAGCATCACAGTGGCAATTAAATTTATTTTTTATTAGTAAATGTTTGTAATACCTCATAATTACATTCATCTTAGAGAATTGGTACATGTACCTTTGATGTCTTGATCATTTTTACCCCCTCCTTCCCTGTCCTCCCTTCTCTAGGTCCCCTTCTATTTCCACACAGCCTACCTCCCTGTTTTCTACCAGGTTTTATTTTGCTCTTTAAATTATTTATATTTGAGGTCTCTCATGTAAGAGAAATCATGCAATATTGAACCTATGTCTACGTCTACTTTATTTCATTTAGCTTTATGGTCGAGATCCACCCATTTTCTTACAGATGACTCACATTTGTTCACCTTGTGGCTGAGTAATATTTATTGTTATATACACCACAATTTTCATTATCTATTCATCTCTTGATGGGCACATATAGTCTGCTTTCATAGTTTAGCTGTTGTGAATTATGCTGCTATAAACTTCAGTATGTATGTATTACTGCAATACGATGACTTTAATTCCTTGAAAAAGTGCCCAGAATAGGAATAGCTGAGTCAAATGGACTTTCTATTTTTAGTTTTTTCAAAAATCTTCATACTGATTTTCATAGCAGTTGTACTAGTGTACATTCTCACCAACAATATCGAAGGGTTGTTTTTCCTCCCTCACAGTCTTGCGGCATTTGTTGTTTTTTGATTTCTTGATGATGGCCATTCTTTCTGGAGTAAGATGAAATCTCAGCATTGTTTTGATTTGCATCTCTCTAATGGCTAAAGGTTCTGAATGTTTTTTTTTCATGTACTTATTGCCCATCTGTACTTCTTCTTTTAAGAACTGTCCGTTCATTTCAGTTGTCCATAGTTTGATAGGCTTTTTATTTTGCGGGGTCTAAGCTTCATAATTTAACATAAGCCTGACACTGAGCTGGGTCTGAGCAGGCCCCTGAAGCAGAATGAAGAACTTTACCCAGTCGTTTGTGGAATAAGTTTGTAGGCTTGCTGACTCCTGTTACGAAAAAAGAATGCCCAGTGCGTACATCAGTAAGAGGCGCAGGAAGGGTCTCTTAGGCAGAGATTTAGCACACACTCAGAGTGAAGTGGGAGTGCTCAAGGAAATGGAAACATGTATGCTTCTCTTGAAAAGGTGGAAAGCCCAGGAAGAGGTGCCCCCCGCCCCCCACAGGTACTGGCCCATTATACAGGTATGGGCAGGGTTTTCTTGGGGGGGGGATTTTTATAATTAAAACATTCTTTGGATTCTCTCAACCGTGCCCTTCCCCTGCCTCCTCCCAGTGTGGTAGGACACACTAGGAATTCTCTCTGCAAACATGAGGAGACTTCTTGTATTCCCTAGCTCTCTTAATCCCCGAACCCTCCGACTCCCTATCACTTCTATTGGAAAATATTAAAGGATTTGAGTCTTTTGACAGCTGAGAGCCTCCGAGTGGGAGAGAAGGGACAAGAAGGGGCTTGAGGCTGTTTTAGGGAAGAGAGGAGGGAAAACACCAGTGGGCTCCTTCTTAGTTTGAGCCCATAGACATCACCAGTTCCCAAGGATAATGTCGGTTATCCCTGGAATGACTGCTGGTATCTGCACAGTTTAGGTCGTCCTGGTCCCAGACACCCAGAAAGGGGAGCTGTGGCATCAGACCAAGGTTATGGCCTTTGGCTGAGAGAGGGAGGGAGGGAGAGAGATGGAGGGAGGGAGACAGAGAGACAGAGAGAGAGATGAAAAGAGCAGCTTGGAGAATCTGCTTTTATCTCAGGTGTTTAGGCCCTGAGCATGTGCGTGATTTAAGGGGCTCACTTCCTCAGGTGTCACCACCAAGGCCAGTCTTCTCCATGGTATCTCGGGACTGGGGTCCCCATGCGGGTTCCAGGAGAAACTTGAGATGCTGTGGGCCCATCCTCATGAGTGCCTCCCCGGTGAGCACATTTAGGTTCCATCTGACCCAGGAACAGGATGTGTCGACCCAAGCGAGACCTGGTGAGGCCACCAAACACCCTGAGGCTCCTTCTCAACACCACTTCCCATTTCCGGTTAGAGGGAGCAAGTGCCTCTTGTCTTTGATGCTTTCCTGTGTAAGCACTCATTTCCTAGGCACTTAGGAGTCTCTAACTGCTGGGAAGGGAAAACCTAAAGCTGCAGAAACCTGTAGACGTGGAGAGAGAAAAAGGACGGAAAAAAAGAGATAAACCATCTTTCAGAGGGTAGAGGTGGAGAGAAATGGGAAGGAAAATAAAAAGCCTTTTGAATGGACTTACCAAGTTTAGGTCCTGGTGTTGCTTTTTGCTGCAGTCTCTCCGAGAGATGATATCACTGGGCTGGGTCTGAGAAGGTCCTCCAAAGTGAAATAAAGAACTCAACCCACCTTGAGGTAGAATAATTTTGCAGAAGAATTTTCAGGCTGCATTAGTAGAGCAACTGGAAGGGTTTCTCAGGCAGGGATCTCAGAAACACTTACCAGCACAGTGCAGGTGCCAGAGAAAGGAAGCACATTATTTCCTGAACAGGGAACATTTATGCTTCCCTTGAAGGTGTGGAAAGCCCAGGAAAAGATGCCCCACCCCCAGAAGGGTACTGGCTCATTTTACAGGTACGGGCAGGGTTTTTTCCTTGTTGTTTTGATAAAATCAAAACATTCTTTGGACTCCTTTATCTTAGGATCAGGTTCCTACTCTTAACAGTCTTAATTGAACCAATTCATGGACTCTTGGTATCCCTGAGGGATTTTGTACGTGATGGGTCTGGTGTGGGAGGAGCTGAAACTTAACCAAATCAGTGCTGACGTGGATCACCTCGGGTAATTTTGGCTAAGTTCTGGAAGTTGCAGAGTTTTTTGTTTTGTTTTATTTTTGTTTTTGAGACAGGGTCTCACTGTGTAGTTCAGACTGACCTGGAAATCACTGTGTAGCCCAGGCTGTTCTCGAACTCACAATGATCCTCCCGCCTCAGCCTCCCAAGTGCTGGGATTACAGGTGTGCGCCACCACACCCGGCTTTTTTTTTTCTTTTTTAATGGCAAAAGGCACTCTTGAATTTAGTAATTCCCATTCACATGCACAACTAGAAAACATCTGTGTATAAGTATACTTATCACTTTTAAAATTTCAGCTGTTTCATGGCAAAGGATAATTACTCAGCTCTGAATTTTTTGCTCTGAGGAAAATTCTTCATTGAGCAAGGTCAGAGTGAAGATGTGACCCTGCAGATGACCATCGTGAAGGCCTGTTGCACAGGGGCTGTAGCTAATTGGGTGGAAATTAGTACAGCAAGAGCCACAGGTTGAAGATTGGTGCATTTCTGAAGCATGTCAGAGGTCAGAGCAATTAATTTAGGGACGCTTACAAGGACAGAGAACAAAGGTGGGAGGGCTTATTCTACACAGAAGTTACAAGGAATCCTGAGAGAGAAAGAAGCAGCTTGAACGGAGGAAGCAAGAAATCAGGAAAGATCAGTAGTGCTGAATTAGGAAGATTTTGGTGGAGGAGAGATTTGTCTACATTTGTATTTTTAAAAGTTGATGATAATGTTTTCATTGGTTGGGTGGTTTTTATTGTGTTTCACTGTGTCCATATTTATGTCTTTTGCTGTGGTGTTTGTGAACTAATTCATAACACAAAGTTCAGTGGGCATTGATGCGATTTTACACGGGCTAGGGTTGCATGAGTGGAGAAAGCGGAAGTAAAGGTTGACACCTAGGCCGCGGGGTTGCCTAGCAGCAGAGGACTTGTTCAGCTCCCCAAGGAAGGGGTGACTCCGAGGCTTCCGGCTTTCAGGGATTGGTAATCTCGCGATATCTCCCGATAGCCGAGGAAGGTGGGCTGGGCCTTAGACTCTTGGCACTCGATGTGCTTTTGAGATGGCCAAGTGGAACAGGCAATCAGAAGTGAGTGTCTGCAGCGCTGTTGCTCTGATCCCATGAGTATTAGAAACGT